GATACAATCAACCACATGTGGACTAGTCACAGAGCATCCAACCCCACAAGCACAAGGTTAGCCTCACAACCATACCCAACACGCAACGACCACCAACCCCATGTCTACAACACAAAGACACCTCCAACCAGAGTACCTCGGCCGAACACCATACACACCACCAAATCCACGAAAACAAACCAGACCCTAAGGATGACCCGAGAAACAGATGACCATCCATTATGTAGCTTCTACGGATGCCTTTTTTGTGGCCTCATTCTTGCTTTTTTTTTTCTAAGAGCCTTTTCCACAATCATCCTGCCAGATCTAGGACAAGCCACCTACGCGCGTTTGAGCAAGCTATGAACCTCTATTTCAAAGAGAATCGCATCAACCTTGTCATGCACAGTCTCCACCCGCCCAACGGTCACATGCGATTGGGTAACAGAAACATCAGAACCTCCATGAGTCCCTAAGGCGAGAGGCTGGCTCGACGCCACAGGAGCAGGTGCCAACATACTGACCGCACCAACATCATCCACCATAGCAACCTCTGGCATAATGGACTCGTAGGTCCCTAATTGCTCACATGATGGAGGCGGAAACCGCCCGTCACACAAGGTCGTCGGCAACTCCACCTTCAGTTGCTCCACAGAGAGAGGTGGAGTCCGTTCCCTACAAAGCTCTAAAAGCCCAGGCATGATTTGTAGCACCGGAGCAACAACCACATCGATGCACGAACCCTCAGAGGCAGACAACGGCGAGCTGACCCTAGCACGAGGAGAGAAACGTCCATGAAGCCCGGCTGAACACTCATCCTCAAGTTTAACATCATGCACATCCAAGGGGTTTGACACAACACTGGTCTGCAGCACAGACGGCACCTGAAAGAGCCCACTCAGAACAGCCTCAGCACGCTCCAGAAAGTTCCCCATCTGAAGCATCCAACCCTGCATGGAGCCAACAACATCGTGCAGAGGCTGGACCGCCTCCTTCAGCTGGGAGGAAGTCACGCCTTGAAGATCAGAGAACAACGAATCAACCGCAAAAGCAGACTCAAGCACCACATCCGCTAGAGCTATTGGGGGTCGCCGTTCTTAGCGGCTCCATGAAACGCAACAACTGAAGCCCAACAACGAGCTATCGATTGGGGAGGACAAACACCAGGAGCCACAGATCATGGAGGACATGTCGCAGGCCACGACATTGGTTGGCATCCATCCCTCACACGATGACCTGATTGAAAGCATCGAATGCACCGGACCGGATCCCTGCACTTAACCGCCCGATGGACTTTAGCAAAGCAGCGGAAACACCTATTCCTGAGCCACATGGGCGGAGGGGCGCGCTCATGATGCTTGAAGGCGGGGGATGGCAGAGCCTGGCGCATGCGGCGGGATTGGACAAGCTTCCAGCCTGTCATCTCATCCGTGAGCCCACAGGAGGGGCGCAACGAAGCTTCTGTTGCCAAATCCGACTGAACAGGGCCCGAGCTCGACGCTGTAGGTGGTAGCAGCAAGCCGGAAGCGGAGGCACCGGCAGCCGGTGGTGCCGGGATGGCAGCCGTCGTAGCTGGCTTGTGTAGGTGGTGTTGGATGGCCGGGGCAAGGACAACCGCAACAAGCTGAGAGGCGGGAGCAACGGCTACGGGCGGCGAGGTCGGAGCAGCCGCCGGTGGTGAAGTGGCCCCCGTCGTTGCGGGCTGGGCGAGGGCTGCCAAGGCAAGCAAGGCGGCGGGAGCTGGGGCAGCGGGCGACGAGGTCGGAGCGGCCGCCGGTGATGCCGGAGCGGGCTTGCGGAGGTGGCCTCAGATGGCCGGGCCCGCCCTGCGGAGGGTAAGCGCCGCCGCAGCAAGGTGAGTGGCCGGAGCTGGGGCAGCGAGCGGCGAGGTTGGAGCGGCCACCGGCCGGGAGGCACACGAACTCGATTGCATTGTCCAGGGAGGCGGAGGAGCTCGAAGGAGGGGCGGTGAAGAGAGGACGCGGTGGGGATCTCAGATCCGGTCGTGGCAGGAGCAGGGGATGCCGGAGGAAGGAGATCGGGGTGCCGGCGCCGGCGCGCTCACCCGTCCTGCGCGAAGACGCGAGATGCGAGACCCATCCCCTCGAATCCCTGCATTCGCATTTGCTTCTGCCCTAGATCGGAAGTTTTCCGCAAAGAAAAGTATACGCTGGCAAAAAAAATTATGAAGAGTTCTCTTTGCTGGCTCTATTTTATTGTTCATCTTCTCCTTGGTAGAAACGAGGGCTTCACATGCTCGGTTAAAAAAAACTAGAATCAGAAAGATCAAGCGACGGAGGACCAGATATAGGAGAATAAGTGTGAGGCGTATGCGATCTTAGGATCGGTGTCGAATAGTAATAAATGAAAGTAACCGATCTTTCAAAATTATTGTACGGAAACCAATCGGCAAATAAACATATGTATATCACAGGTTTGCAATGTATCCTTGACATGGCATATACCCCAATTTAATTATGGAACCGTAATAATAATCAAAAGCGTTATATAGAGAGATAAATAGGGAGGGCGTAATCAACGCACCGCACCAAAAAACTGCTCCATCTAGGCCTAGAAATAGCCGGCAGAGAAAGATGCAGAATAGCATTACAACAAGCACAATACACACGTACAGCAAAAGTACTTAGGAGAGAAAAAAAAATGGAGGCCACGATGATGAGGATCTTCGGGATGCTGATGCTCGTCAGCCTCTGCAGCAGAGGTATTCAATCCGTTGATCCACTCTCCGAATCCAAATCGGACTAATCTAATTTTCTCATGTCGATTTTGATCGATTTTCTACTTGTTTTTGTTGTTGGTGTTGGTGAAGGCAATGCGGAGTTTCGGGAGTGCACCCTGTCGGACCTCCACGTGACCCAGACCGCCACGGGGATGAACGCCGGAGGGAACCCAGAGTACGCCGTGGAGGTGGAGAACGGGTGCATCTGCACACAGACGGACGTCAAGCTGCTTGCCCCCGGGTTCAAATCCTCCGAGCCCGTGGACCCCAACGTCTTCCGGCCGGACGCCGACGGCAAGCTCGGCACCCTCAACAACGGCTCCCCGGTGTACAACGGCGACAAGATCAACTTCAACTACGCGTCGGCCACCAAGTTCAGCCTCACGCCCTTCTCCTCCAGCGTCGCATGCTCGTGATTGGGACGATTACTTGGAATCGGTGGGCCTGATGAATAAGTTTATGTCGGTTGATTGATGATATATACGTTTGTAAATTAATCTGCACATGCATGAAACGTTGCTTTGAGAATTGATGGGTTTGTTGAAATTCGAGGGTGGATGTATCTTGCTACCATTGGAAAATTTTGTGAAAATCCCAAGAAAAAGTCAGTACATGATATACAGTATCAATTCCTCAAATAAAAACACCATTAATGTACTATGACCAAAAAGTTTAGATCTAAACGTGCTTCACAGTGTCATGAGAATCAAATTTAGGTCTAGAAATTTGTGCCATCGTAGCTCTCATTTCCTTGAAATCTGTAATTAGTGTCTGTTTGTCATACTGTGAATCAAAATTTTAAATATAAAAACATATGTCTTGTTCTACTATATATATATGTGCTGAATTATTTTCAGAGATGTTCACAAGTTTGGAGATATCTTCTCCTTGGCAAGGTTTTTTTATTTCGTAAACAAAACAAGTTTGCGTCTCACCCCAATATCAGAACTTTTGAAAAAAAATTGGATTTGAGATTTCAAATTTTATTGGATTTTAATCTAATTTAAAGAAATTAGTTTGAATTTAGCTGAAAATTTCAGGATTAAAATATTTCAAACCCCACCAAAGTTTTGAAAATTCCCATGAAATTCTGTTGATATATTTAATCCTGTTCCTTGGTATTATCGGTAGGATTTAGAGTTCCTTCCGCCAAACTTGTGCATATGATTTTGGGGGCTGCTACGCATCGGCCGGTGGATCTTTTTAAAAGATCCGCCACCTCGCGAGCCGTCGGTCTGATACAGATCTAGTAGGGTGAACTTCTTTTCTCTACTTTGCAACAAAGACCTTGTTGCGGAAACATTTGTAATAGAGATTGTGTTGCAGAATTTTTATACAACAGAGGTTGTGTTGCAGATTTTTTGCAACAGAGGTTGTGTTGTGGATTTTTTTTTGCAACAAAGGTATCGTTACGGTTTACTTTGCAACAATGGTCTTCATGCGATTTTTCTTCGCAACAACGTTCTTGTTGCACATTTGTTTTCTGCAACAGTAGTGATGTTGCAGAAGTGGACGATGCTTGCGTCGTCAGTGTCGAGAGGTCGTCTTCTTTCATCACCCGGTAGTAGTAGGAGCAGGCGCTGTCGACCGAGAAGAGGGAGGAGGTGAGAGGGTGGGTGGGTGGTGGAGGCGGCCGACGACCGCAACGGCTAAGCGCATGTTCGCCGACATCAGTGGCGGCACGAATGGATGAAGGAGAGAAGAGGGAGGAGGAAAGAGGGTTGATGGTGGTGGAGGTGGCCGACGACCACGATGGCGGAGTGCGTGCTCGCCGGTGTCAGCGGTGGCACAGCGGGGGTGCTTTGGAGTGGCACGGGTGGTGGCTTCTCTCGATGGGATCCAGATTCAGATCTCACAACACATCAGTTGTTGCGGTGAGAGGAATCACAACAACCACTCAGTTGCAAAAACTAGTATAGGTAATACGTTGCTTCTGGTCATCTCATTAAAATCTGATCCGATGGCCACGAAGATGACGGACTCACGTGTAATGTTCCGTCGGGTGATTTCAATCATTTCCCTATGATTTTTACGGTCTACTTCTACTAAGCATGCGAGTTTTCAATTCGTGTTTGTCAAGTTCCCGTGCATTATTCACGTAACAATAAAAGTAGCTAGTAGTCAAACTTCTCCATTGATGTCCGAAAACAATATTTGTATCGATGATAAGAAAGAATTGGCTATTATTTATTTGTACCATTATTGCCAATAGCACCTTCTTTACAAAGAAAAACATTATGCGATATAACACACTATTTACCTTATAGTTTTTTTTTCGCGACTACATGCGTGATTTTGGAATCAACAGTAGTTTCTCCTTCCGACGGACGGTTAGCCCAAACACCTCTGTCATATCAATATCTTTTCTCTCAACCCCAGGCGGAAGTTCCCAGTCAAAATGGCACACAATGTCTGCCAACATAAGCTCCGCATTCGCGACCCCGAGGTTCATACCAGGGCACATCCTCCGCCTTGCTCCGAACGGCAAGAACTGGAAATCATTACCCTTGAAGTTGACATGCATACTGCTACCTTCATCTGTAAATCTTTCAGGAATGAACTCTTCCGCATACTCCCAGGAGCTCGGATCCCTACCAATGGCCCATGCATTGACGACCACACGCATCCCAGCAGGAACCGTGTATCCATCGATGATGCAGTCAGCCATGGCAAGGTGCGGAGCAAGGAGAGGAGCAAGAGGATGTAACCGGAGCGACTCTTTTATGACTGCTCTTAGGTACGTCATGTTGTTCATGTCGGTTTCACAGATAATTTCTTGTCGTTGGGGTACAATACCCCTCACCTCATCTTGTAGCTTCACCATCAGGTGTGGCTTCTTCATGAGCTCAGCCAAGGTGAATTCGAGGGCGTATATCAATTAATTAGGACAAAAAATACATCCTGCATATATCAATTAATTAGGACAATGATAGATATATACAAATCAACTTGTTTAGTTTGAAAGGTATTATCTATACTCACGGTCAGGAGAGCTTTCATGTGCTCTCTTGTGAGATCATACTCCTGTTGGACAGACAACATAATATCCACGGGAAAGTAGTGGCTGCACCCACTTTCGATGCACCCACGGTGCACCCATGCAAGAAAACATATCAAAATATTTCGAAAAAATATGAAACTTCGTGGAAATGATGATCAACAAATGTTATGTGGGCTTGCAAAGTTTGGTGGTCAAATAACATTCGACAAGCGCCCTACAAAAAAGACAAAATTGCAAAATCTGCTCAAACAGTGCACGTACATTTTGACTAATTTGCAGTGATTTCGTCTTTTTTGTAGAGAGCTCCTCAAATGTTATTTGGCCAACAAATTTTGCAAGCCCCCATAACATTTGTTGATGATCATTTTCACGAAGTTTCAGATTTTTTCGAAATGTTTTGATATGTTTTCTTGTGGTGGTGCACCATGGGTGCACCGAGAATGGATGTAGAAGAACCACTCTTGCGCTTACTCACATGATCGTCGATCACCTTGTCCAGCAGATCGGCCCATCTGTTCCTCACTCTTTCGGCCTTGGCACAAACCGCCTTCTTGAGCACTCCTACCCTACCCACTGCCGGAAAGTACTCCTCCAAATTGAACCCGCCTAGCAGCCGTGAGGTATCCTTGATGAGTTCCCCGAACAACTTGCTTTGACCATCTTTCAGGAAGAACTTCCCCGACACAATGCGGCACGCCATGTCATTAGCGAATGTGTGGAGCAGCTCACTCATGTCCACCGCAGCATCAGTAGCTGCTGCCTGGTTGATCTTGGCCATCGCCATGCTGACCTATAATAGCATGGGTCGTAAAGTATGAGAAGCTAACATTTACATATGTAGTACTTTCTCGGTCCAGGTTAATATATAAGTTTCCTTGGTATTTTGGGTCAAAGGTGGACCATATATAGATTCAACTACCGTTGGATTCTTATTCAAAAGTAGTTTAAGGTGGTATCATTTTTTATACATAAAGTCTATATTTTACTATTATTAGTTAATTTTATTTTAGAAGTTAAGCACAAACTATGAGCGAAACTAATAAACCCGGACGGAGGAAGAAACAGTTAGCAGAGGACCACATGAAAGTCCATTCCGTTATTTTGTTTCTGATGGAAGTGAGAGTCCAAATCAGTACAAGAATAATGAGAGCAAGATCTTAAAAGAAAGGCTATCAGTACCTGAAAAATTAAATATAATTAAAAACCAGTACCTCCTCCGCAGCGGCGCCACGGAAAGACTGCACCTTCTTAGCACTCAGCATGTGTGTGGTGACGAGTTTCCTTGCTTGCCGCCAGTACTCACCGTATGGCACGAAGCCGATGTCAGACGAGCGGTACATGATGGTGTCGGAGACGACGGAGTAGGGCCGTGACGCGAGGACGTGGTCATGAGTGTGCAGCACCGCCTCCGCAGTGCGCGAGGAAGACACAACGAGGTTGGGCACGGTCCCCTGCAGGCGGAGGAGCATCACGTCGAGGCCATGCTTCCTTGCGAGGCCGCTGAGAGAGATGTGGGGGAGGGAACCGATGAGGTGGAGGTGCCCGATGATGGGCAGCGCCGGCGGCGAAGGCGGGAGCCGCTGTCTTTTTGCACTGAACTTTCCGGTGAACCAGTACTGCATAGACACGATGAGGCAGAAGAGGAACAGAAACAACCATGCCCGTGGCAGGGTCTCTGGCAAGAGTTTCTGCAGGAGATCCACCATGGCGAACCGACGTTGGGGTGAGTGGCTTTGTAAGTACTTTTTTTTATAGAGGAAAGGCCATAGCCCGAGTTTATAGATAAAGCCACCAGGCAGAGTTAACCTATACCCAAACAACCAGCACACGATCACAGAAGTATCAAGCCAGAACACGAAGAAGGAAGTCTAAGTACATGGCTCCAAGGCCAGTACATGGCACGCAGGCCGGAAGAAGATAAGATAGCGTAGCAACGCAGCAACGTCTACGGGCCCGCTTGGACTGGAAGGATGGAGATAGCAGAATTTCGGATCTTGGCTAACATGACGTCAAATGCATCCCTGTCCTCCTCCTTAGTCAATAATATCCACTGCTACATAAATATACAAGTCTTACATAAGCAATCAGCAGGCTTAGCAGGAAAAACATGTTCGATAGTAAATTTATTCCTTGTCGTCCACAAGGACCAGCACATGGCAGCAAAGCCGACCCAAAACAATCTCCTCTGGGCCCCAACCAAAGAGTTAGCCAAGGCCCGCAAGTCCGTGAAGGAGGTCGGAGCCCAGGAGACATGCAACCAGGATCTGATGCAACACCAAAACAATTTAGCCAGGACACAGTTAAAGAAAATATAAGGTGTATCTTCTCTCGTCCCACATAGAACACAGCAGTCAGAACCCGGACCATTAGGTTTACGAATTTGGTCACCCGTAGGTAGACGCCCACGAGAGGCTTGCCAGAGAAACACTTTAATCTTAGGGGGGATGTGAGCTTTCCAAATCCACTTAAATTTGGAGGTGGTGGATCCCTCAATGAGTCTGCTATAAAGAGATTTAACCGAGAAGCGGCCACAGGGAGAATGGGGCCACACAACTATGTCTTCCTCCTCCGAGAGCGAAGGGAAGAGGGCAGCAAGACGCTGCCAGTCTTCCAGCTCTACAGGAGAGAGAGAACGGCGCAGCTGAAGGTCCCAATTACTCGACGCAAGCTCAGAGATAGAGATCTGAGGGTTCGGACAGTAGGAGAATAAAACAGGGAAAGAAGAGGCCAGCGGGGAGGCCCCGCACCACCAGTCGAGCCAGAACCTAGTAGACTTACCATTGCCAACGAGAAACTTGACAAGGCCTTGAAAGGTAGGCCGGAGTTTAACAAGATCACGCCAAAATTGAGATGCCCCAGATGCCCGGGCAAACATAGGGCTACAGGAAGGGAAGTATTTTGCCTTTAAGATGATGAACCACAAAGGCTTGTCCTGGGGGATATGCATGATCTTCCACCACCATTTGATGATCAGACATTTGTTCATAACCAGAGTATTAATGATGCCCAGCCCCCCAAGGCTTTTGGGCTTACAAATGGTGTCCCATTTAACCAAGCGATACTTGCACTTGTTATCGGTCGCGTTCCAATAAAAGGCCCCTCTATGTTTGTCAAAACCAGCATGGGTGCCCATTGAAAGGAGGTAGAACCCCATCAAGAACATAGGGAGAGAGGAGAGGCAGACGTTAATTAAGGCCACTTTGCCCGCCTGAGTATTATATCTGCCCCTCCAGGGCATCACACAATTACCGACCTTGGTCACCACAGGGGCGAAGTCCTTGGCATACAGCTTGTTAGAAGTGATAGGCAGGCCCAAATACTTAATAGGAAAAGAACCCAAAGAGCAATTTAATAAGCGAGCCACCCTTAAAGCTTCGGTGCCAGAAACACCAGTGACAATCACTTCGCTTTTAGAGAAATTAATCTTAAGCCCCAAATGAGCTTCGAAACAGAGGAGGAGAAACTTGAGATGGCCGATGCAGAGATCATTAAGTTCCACCAAGATGATAGTATCGTCGGCGTACTGAAGATGCGTAACACCCTCCGGAATGAGGTGGGAACTAACAGGGGAAATATGGCCGACCTCCGCAGCTCTAGATAGGATGTTAGATAGGGCGTCCGCAACGAAGTTAAAAAGAATGGGCGAGGCCGGGTCGCCTTGCCGCAAGCCCCTGGAGTTTTTAAAGAAGTTACTAATATGCCCATTAACATTAATAGTAGTATGGCCCCCTATGACCAACTGCATGATACGGTGTACCACCTCACTGTCAAAGCCTTTAGCAAGAAGGACTTGTCTCAGGAATCCCCAACTAACCGAATCATAGGCCTTTTCGAAATCTAATTTGAGTATAACTGCCTTGTTCCCAGATTTGTGAATGTCATGAAAGATTTCATGGAGACAGAGAACTCCGTCCAGGATGAAGCGACCCTTGATAAAAGCAGACTGAGTATGAGAGAGGGTGCGATGGGCCATTGGGGTGAGGCGAGTGGCCAGACATTTGGCAGGGAACTTGGCAAAGTTATTAATGAGCGCGATAGGTCTAAACTGGGAAATTAAGTCAGCACCCTTAATCTTGGGGATAAGAGAGATAACCGCATAATTAAGCCTGGAGATATCAACTGTGCCCAGGCAGTAACCTTGAATAACTTGGCAAATAAGGTTTTTAAGAATAGGCCAAAACTTTTTAAAGAAGGGGATAGAGAACCCATCCGGGCCAGAGGCACAATTAGGGTTAGCCTTCCTTATAGCAGAAAAGATTTCCTCTTCAGAATAGGGGATCATCAGGTCCGAGTTTTCCTCCTGAGAAACCAAAGATCCATGGTTCCAGAAGTTGGTAGCAAGCCTGAAACCCTGATCAGGCTTGGCAGAGAGAAGGGAAGAAAAGAAAGAGACCACATGGTTAAGGATGACGCCCTGGTCGGAAGTACGCACCCCATCGATAATCAGGCTATCTATTAAACATCTGCGCCGTCTCCCATTTGCAATCGCAAAGAAATAAGCAGAGGGGGAATCCCCTTTTAGGAGCCAATTGGACGCGCCCCTCTGGCGCCAGTAAATCTCATTAAGCTGATGCAGGTGCATCAACGCATGTTCAAGGGAAAACCGAAGGGCCCAATCAGAGTCGGAGAGGCCAGAGGTATCCGCCCGAGCATCAAGGGCCTCAATCTGGGCCAAGAGAAGGGCCTTATCCCTGTGTTCCTAGGCCGAGTGATTCTGGGACCATCCCCGAAGGAATTTGCGAAGCAAGCCGAGCACTTATGCCAATCATCCATGGGTCCAAAGGAACGATGAGGAGCAGAAAGAATGGCACTGATTTTAGAACCAAGGAGATCACAAAAAC